ATAAATAACTCTTTCCTCCAACTTAACTTTTAAGGTTGCTATATGCATCGAATTGGGTCCCCACCCCCCACCCCGCCAAAATACATTAGAGTCCTAAATCTCTGGTAGCTCAGAATGTGAGTTTATTTGGAAACAGGGTTATCACAGGTGTAATTATTTAAGATGAGGTCATGCTGGTGTATGGTAGGTCTTTTATCCAACATGACTGGTGTCTTATAAGAGGAAAGAGACAAAGAGACAGAGATAGACTTGGAGAACGTCAACGGATAATGGAGGCAGAGATTGGAGTGTTGCATCTAAAAACCGAAGAACACCCAAAATGACCAGCAGGGACCAGCAGCTATGAAGAGGCAAAGGCCTGACTGTCCTTAGAGAGCCCAGAAGGAATGAGCCCTGCCAACATCTTGATTTCAGACTTTTGGCCTCCAGAACTGTGAGAGAATAAATTTCTGTTGTTCTAAATCACTGAGTTGTGGTATTTTTGTTATAGCAGCTCTAGGAAACAAATATAAATATTAGGAATTGAATATGATACTTTGTATACAAATTTCATTTTTAGTTTTACATGTTAGATATACAGCTGCTTAAATAAGCATTTACAAAGCATGATCCATTCTCAATTATTTTTCTTTCATTCACATTTGATTTTAATTGGTTATACATGGATTGCATTATTAGCCCGAATTCCGTTGTCAAAAAATGTCTTCCGAAAAGATATTAACTTGTTGGTGATAAGCATTTTTTTGGGAAATATATCTGCTTTGAAATGAAACACAGCTGCTGAAACAGTCTTATTTTCTCCAGCTTCTAGTTTTTGGAAGCAGGAAATGAAGTAGTTAAGGATCTGCCTTAAGATTTTATCAGGGTTTAAATCCTGATTTTGCTACCATATGTGACCATGGACAAGTTACTGAATTCTCTCTGCCTCACTTCTCCAACTGTAATATGGAAAAAAATAAAAGCCTTGAACTTATAAGTTTATTGGGTTGCTTAAGAGAATTAGGATGCGTCAAGTTCTCAGACAAGAGTTGGCATGTAGTAAGTTATTAATACGTATTAGCTGTTATTTTCTTCCTTTCTAGTGCTTCAAACCCACTGCCACAGATGGACCACATGGAGCAAATTTGACAGACCCCTCACCTGTGGAAAATACGAAAAGTGTTAAAGACCATCTGAATGTTGGCTTCATCTAACTGTCTTTTTCCCCCACTTACTAGCTATCTATTGAAGTCACACCCTCCTTGAAAAGGTAGCTCATATTCTATCCCCCAGTGGTAAGTCTCCCCCATCACCTATGTCAGATTTATTCTTTCTCCCTCTGCCATATTCCCCTAGCACAAGGGGGAAGCTCTTATATACAATCTGCTTAGGAGTTATTTGTGCATGCTATGTCCCATTTGATAGACAATGACCTCCAGGAGGACAGGGCTTGCACCTTTCAATTTTCTATCATCTGTAGTACCTAGCAGAGATTTTTTTTTATACTTAGTAGATACTCAATAAATGGTTGTTAAACTTGGTTGAACCTACATTTTGTTTTTCTTTTTGGCAGATGCCCTAAGAAAAACATAAAAAAAATGAATTACTTTTCTTCTTTTCATTGCAATATATATGCCCTGGGCTAGTAGGTATTTGCAAGCCTGGCTTAGAACCTAGGGGAGCCATCAATCTAAAAATGGAGAGGAAATACATTTTAAATCACAAGAGCAATATAGCCTTATGTAAGGCCTTCTAGCAAAGCAATTATCAATGACTCAATAACCCAGGTGCTAGAGTTATTATGAACAAAAGTCTGAGGTTGAGAGACAATGAGTGATCTTAACTTTTATATTCCATAGGTATGCAATTCAATGAAACATGTACAGATGGAAAGTTGAGATCTGAGAATCATATGTGGGTATCATAATACAAATAATTGGCTTTCTTTCTGAAGAACATCTGTTGAAACATCTGAAAGCAGTTGTTTATACTGATGCCAAAATGCTGAAAAATATAATAATTCTCCAATGAGGTTAGAAATATCCGGGGGAAGAAAAATAGTTTTTATGTAGTTCTGTTTTTATTAAATCCTGTTGTTTCTCTAATATGGCACATAGGAGATCCTCAATAATATTTGTTGAATGAATAGCAGAGACTCATTAAACAGTTGTTGAATGAATCATTTTTTCAGACTTATAAGATACCATTTTCAGAAAATGGTATGCCCTAGTTTTACCATGCCATATACCATTTTTATTTGGCATAAATTGAAGTAATGCTACTCTTGCTCTGAATATCATAGAATGCAATGTAGAAAGTAATCAGCATGTATATCGTTAAGAATAAATATCTTACTGAAGAATATATATGAATAAAGCAATATATAAAGCAATAATAAAGAATATATATGAATAAAGTATATGATACATGAATAAAGCTAGTATATGATAATAATATTTTAATATCCTGATATGTTTCTTTCACTCATTATTATAAAACACTTAAAATTTGGGGTCCCTGGGTGACTCTGTTGGTTAAGCATCTGCCTTCAGCCAAGGTCATGATCCTGGGGTCCTAGAATGGAGCCCCACAGTGAGTTCCCTGCTCAGAGGGGAGCCTGCTTCTCCCTATTCCTCTGCACCCCCCACACTGTCCCTCTCCTGCTGTCTCTCAAATAAATAAATAAAATCTAAAACAAACAAACAAACAAACAGAAAAACAATTAAAATTTGAATTGTGGGCTTGCACAATCATGTTTGTTTCAACAAATAAAAGAAAATGAAAACCCCTGCTAATGTCTATGGCAGTAGTGCCTCTAAGAAGAATTGAACTTGGGATTTAAAAACACCAAAATATTCTGTGATATGAAGACTGCTGAAGATAAAAAAGAAGCCATTTCTCCCCCATAACCCCATCCCAGAATTTCCGCAGTTTCTCTCTTGCATACGCCTGTGCAAGTGAGGCGACTAGGCTCCCCAAAGGCTGCCCAAATTCCACTCTGCCAAGTTTTCAGTACAGAAAGAACATGTTAAATAATAAATGTGAGTTTGAGTGTAACTAATAAAATTGGAATGTTAAAGAGCAGCATGCTTTTGAAAAGCAGCCTCCTTGTGAGAATGCTCCCTGTGCAAGTCCACGGGAAATAATTCTGAAGGGAGTGATATTAATTAGTAATATAATTTATCTTCTGGAAGCCCTTTCCTTTGATAGCGCTGTGGCACAGTTCATAAGCTTCCAAACGAGTGCTCAAAGAAAATGGTTAACCACAATTTCTGTTTGTTTTCCATCCTTGAACAGATAAAAAAGTCAAATTTATTTCAGTATATCTGAGTTTTATACATGTATCACATGACGGAGGATTATGAAGATATAAAAGTGTATTTATGAAGAGTTTTCAATGAAATGGTAAAATGCTTATGATGTAATCAAAGGAAAATAGAGCAGTATCCAAAATTAAATTCATGGCCTCTGATCTCAGATTTCTTGGTTTCTGCTCTAGCTCTGCCATATACAAGGTATGGCGCCTTGGCAAGATACTTGACTTTCCTGCTTTCAGTTTTCTCATCTAATACAATGAAGGTAATAGTAAAAATCATTGTGTTCAGAATAGTGCCCAGAATATACTCCGTAAGTAGTATTAACTGTAATTATTATTATTGCATATTCACAATATTGCCAAGCTTGTAAAAGAAAAATGCAAGGTGAGGAGGATTAGCTGGAAGGCAGTAGCCAAAATGTTATTAATATTTGCTTGCGAATGGTATGTTTATGGATAATTCTTTTCTACAGCATTACACTTTTCTGTAAGTATTCTTTTGTAATACAGTTTAAAAATTAAGTTTTATGCCTACATGGCTTGATGGAAATTGAGGTGGAAATTTGGAATAGGTTAAAACTTATAGCCCACTATGCTACAGCATTAATGAAATATTAAGACTTTTATACAGATGATGCGATAGAATTCACACTTCTTTCAATTCTAACACAATCTAAAGAAACATTATTTTTTAAAGTTTAGCCAATGTCAGTTCTACATTCAGAAAAAAAGTCAAATGTTTATTACGATCTTACAATTTTGGCCTACTAAAACTAAAAATGCTTTATTTTTTAATTTGAGAATCCCATGCAAAAATCCCAAAGGTGCCTTTCATGTTTAAGCTTTTAATTAGCAACTGACACATATTGTGCAGATATTGAAGTGTTAATATTACTGAAGCTTGATTACAAAAGGCAATGATTAATTTTAAAGCAGACTAAAAAGATATGCCCTGATTACAAAGGAATGATTAAGGCGGAATGTCAGACGTTGCACATTTATAGCAGTCTTTGCCACAGTCAAAGGATAAGACGTTGCAGTTTATATTTAGAATCACGGGTACTTAGTTCTTCATAATGCCAGGTGTTTGTGCCTCGGAGAAAGATCACCACAAGTCCAAGTGCGGCTTTAAGACCTTTGGGGCTATCTGGCCAAAGCGAAACCCCTGACGCAGACTGGGCCCAACGAGACGCCGTAGTTCAGTCCCCACCCGGCGAGGCCAACCGGAGGTCCCTGCTGCGGCCTGCAGGAAGGGCTCCAGCCGACGGTATTGTTAGCAAGTACACGGATTACTGTGAGACAGAACACTGTGAGGACGTTCGCCCGAAAAAGAGAGGGGGTGGAGAGGAAAAGGCCAGAAACACCGAGGGGTGCTGCCCAGGCCGGCTCAGACGCCACGCCTGGGCGCCTCCATTTTTATTTGCCACCAGCACGGAAGGGAAACCCGCGAGGGCCCGGGGCCTCGACTGGGGGGAGCTGCGTTCAGCCGGGGAACGAAAGCCCGGCTTCTGTCCCTGGCAGGGCGAGGGTGCGAGGGGGGTGAACGGCTGTCCTTTGTCAGTGAAGCGGGGAAACAAAGGCCCGCAGCCGGGCTGGCGCCCGCCTCGCCCATCCAGAGTCAAGGCCAGCCCGGGGATAGCCCTGAACCGTCCTCCTTCCTCACTGCGCTTTGCAGGCCCCTCGCACTCCTCGCCCGCAGGTACCGAAAGGCGTCAGGGGGTCCGCGGGAGCCCGGCGCGAGATGAGTTTAGAGTCCCTGTTTCGGCACATCATCTTCTCGGAGCATCAGGCCGAGGAGGGTCGCCGCGTGATCCGAGAAGGTGGGTGCTTCGGTCGCCCGCTGGCGGGGGGGGGGGGGTCCCTTGTCTCCTCCAGGTGGGGGCTTAGAGCGAAAGGCAGGCCCCAGGGCGTGGGCGGAGAAGGGAGGGGGCTCGGCTGTCCACGCGCGTAGGCCTGGGGACTCCAGAAAGATGGAAGAGGTGTTTAAGGATTTCATTTGTATTCCAGTAAGGTCGGAGATAAACAGATGTCGTGAAGAAATGAAGAAAGCAGCCGAGCTGCTGAACGAGGAGAAAGCCAAGTTGGAATCTAAGGTAGCTTGACATGGAGAGCTTGAAAAAAAATCTATTCAAAACTGCCTTTTGGAAGATATTTTATTATTTAACTAGTTGTCCTTCAAGTAGGAAGCGTACCCCTGGGCTGGTTAGTGCAGCGCCATCTTGCTGGATAATATTCCAGACTCCAGGTCCAGGGAACACTCATTCCAACAAGACACTTGTCCCAAGGAAACCAGTTTAAGGAATGAAGACTTGATGGTCCATGGTGTGGGATAGTTGACTTTTTAAAAGAGCCCGATGTCACTGGAAAAAATAATTGCTCAATAAGTAGTTGGTGCAGCGTATACGTTTTAAGTAGTAAATAATTGAAGAAGTGTGCCCTGCTGATGTAACAGTTGGAATGTGACTTTCCAGCCAGTCTCTGCCTTTTGTATTTTTCAATTCCCTACCACATTTGGGACATTTCTTTCATCCTAAAGTGTAATTTTTTTTCACTAGCATCTCTCTTTTCTGCATCATTTGGAAAGTTATGTTATTTAAATAGAAGCAAGGCAATCCAGTGGCCTTGTGAAGGAAGATTTTGAAGGATGGGTGGAATTCTGGAAAGGTAGAAATAAGTAATAGGAGAAAAGTATTGGGGACAGAGAGAGGATATGAACGAAAGGGAGACATGCCCAAGGCATATTGGGGGAGAAATCTAGTCAAAGCAGAGAGCTGCTATCTGGGAATAGGACAAAAGCATTCCAGGCTTTTGATCAGGGAGCCGTGTGATAAAAGTGGTTTTAGGAAGATTTCTCTGAGCCCTGGGAGGACGGGAGCTAAGAACATCATCCAAGCATGCCCTAATGACAACCTTGCCTATGGGGGGAAACGGGACGACAGTCATTCAAAAATATTTATTCAACACCTAGAGATAAACTAAGCAAGCCCTGTGCGGTGGGAAATCTGTTTGAGGAAGACTGTTTGCTTAAAAAATGTCTATTTTAACTTACCAGTGTGAGGAATTTCTAGTTTTCTTTGTGAACAAAGTAGTCATCGATCCCTTCTCTACCTGGTGAGTTTTTGCTCTTCTGCCAGGTCTTACTCAAATGTCACCTGTGAAGCCCGCCCTTGGGCAGCTTGGAAATTTTTAAAATTACAGTTCAGGGTACCATGTTAAAATTAGACAAGAGTGCTTACTTGAATTTGTATTTGTAGCCCCTCACTCTTTTGGAAGCAACGTATTTGGAATTTTTTTCTTAACCATCTTATGTTTCCATAGCTTATGTCCAGGGCCTAGCACCTATTTTACTTTGGTGTTTGAATGAATTAATGATTACTAATAGTAAGATAATAGGGAGAGTGCTGTCCTTTAAAATAGAAGTTTGGACTGTTAACTCAAGTGAGACCCTAGGTCCTGTTTGGCTTTTGAGTAGCAGATAAAGTAGCTGCAAACACTGTAAGCTGATGGGAAGGTCAGAGCTTTAAGAATGTCATGACGTAGCTTTCTTTTTCTTTAAAAAGAATTCAGATACTTAAGCATTGGTAACTGGAAGCTAATGGAAGTAACAGGCAAAACGTACAATTAGGTAATGCTTAGCTGACACTTACTGAGCACTTACTATATGCTGGGCATTATTTTAAATGCTTCACCCATGTTAACTCCTTTAACCCTGCCAGGAATCCTGTGATGAGGCACCATTATTAATCTCCCTTTATGGGTGAGGAAACACAGAGGTTAAATGACTCGCCCATGATATATAATTAAAAACAATTAAGCTACCATAATGAAAGTAACAACTGAGTAATGACAGAATATTTTATTAAAACGGATTTCTTGAGCTCTTCTTAGACTTTTTTTCTTCATAAAATCCACATGTAATAATGTATCTGAAGCTTTTGCAGTTAGTTTAGGGCAGTTTTTAAAAGGTCACTTATGTAAGTTTTTCTATAAAATGTCTTTTTCCCGGATTGGTGAAGATACTGACCTGAAAGATAACAAATTTTAAAAAAATTTGCTCTTTATATGTCTTCTTTGAAAAAAAAATAGGTTTACTCTTTGTACTATTTTTCTTTTTTAGCAGCCTGTTTTGTTGAAAATGGAAATGTAATTTGTTGCTAAAATACACATACATAAAAAATGTTGACTCAAATACTTATACTTGAGAAAAGACAGAGCAAGTCCTTAACATTGTTCAGAAACATCTGCTGAAATTTCTAATTAATATAAGCTCTTAAATGTGGATTGTTTTTTAATCAGCTCATATACATGGGTAATAGTATGATTGTCTCTTACTAATAAAATTAACATACAAGGTTCACCATTTCATACAATACTAATTTGTAATTGAAATAATTTGATTTATAATATAGTCAAAATGGTGTGTGTGAGTATGTATGGATAAAGATTTTAAAAGTGGAACCACAATTATAATGTAGATGACTAATGGGAGGAACTGAAGAAGTAATCATAAATTGATTTCTTGTATCTTTTATTCTGAGTTAATTATATGTCTGCCAATAACAATGAAAATATATTTACTTGAATATTTGACTTGGCATTTATTGACCAATTTATCAAGTGGAAGCAGCATCCGGAGAAACTCGAACATAATTTGAAGAGGCCGGTGCTTTGTGCTGTTTGTACGGTGATACATTCAGACGACATTTGGGGCATTTATTTTGGAAGTTGCTTGTGGTCAAAAAATGTATTTAGGAAGTGCAATACTCATTTCTTTTCTGTTCTGTAAAACCCAGGTAGCATGTAATTAGAACTTGAATGATAGCATTTGCCTTTCAGGGCTCGATGAGTCCTTTAGAATATATGGTTGCAAAAATCTCCGATTATGTAGTATGCATACTTTGTGAGTTGGAGAGCTGCAGTATGGCTGGTTAGGTTTGGTGATATGAAAACAGAAAGACAAGAATATGCCCTGCATTTGCATTAATGCTTACCAATATACCTAACGCCTCTGATAAAGAAAGGTTTTGAGGTATGGATGACAGAGCAAATCAAAATTAAGGACTCCCAGAACATATGTAGTTTCTTCTAAGCATCTGAAAGGTTTTTTTTTTTTTTTCTGTTTTAAAAATAGTATATAGTTAAAATTCGACTATTTAATCTGTATAAACATGTTATATAAAACCTAATGTAACGCAATACTGTCTCAAAAGAAAGGAAGTGGTGGAAAGCTATTTTGTTTAATTTTTCTTCTCTCACTGTTAACCTATATAAACATTATAACAGTAATAGGGGTGGCTACCCAGGTGGCTCAATGGGTTAAGCCTCTGCCTTCAGCTCAGGTCATGATCTCAGGGTTCTGGGATTGAGCCCCGCATGGGGCTCTCTGCTCAGCGGGAAGCCTGCTTCCCCCTCTCTCTCTCTGACTGCCTCTCTGCCTGCTTGTGATCTCTCTGTCAAATAAATAAATAAAATCTTTTAAAAAATTATAACAATAATAAAATAATATGGCATGAATTTTTTTAAAAAATTCATTATATTGAAATAAACAAGTAACTTAAGGTGACTTCTTTTCCTTCAAACTGTGCCCAGTCCTTTTTTTTTTAAGTTGATAAAACCCCTGCCAGTTAGTGACCCTCCTACTTAGGAGCCCTCGGAGACCAGCCTGCAAAGTCTTATCTGTTAGTACTCTATTACCTAATTAGGGAAAGAACAAAATCCCAAGTTGTTATCATGTATAATACTGAAATAGAGTTTTGTTATGGAGATTTTTCTTTTTGTAAAAGTTGCATCAAGAAAAATTTATATCCTTTTTAAATTTAATTTAATTAATTAAAAGTTACTTAAAAACATAAATAAAAGGACATTATTTCTTCCCTGTAACATTGTTTAAATAGCAGTACATGTGATTTATTTAATCCCAATTTTAGAAAATAATATGGAAATTCTGCTTATCACAATTTAACACGTTCCTATATATAGATTCATTAATTATGACCAGGACACTTCACTTAGTCGCTTGCACTTTCTCTGACTTTTTCACATTAAAGTCTTTTAAGGAAAATCCCTCCTGTCCTAAACATGTACACTGATTTCTGAAAAATGGGAGTATAGAATTTTGGCTTATTGTCTCTTTTACATTCACTTTTGTCATATGTACAGTTCCATAGTCAGTCAATGTACTTCTGAGTTTGGAGTCCATTCTACAGAGGACTTTTCTTTTATACTCAAAGTACTTCCTAGAGGTTTGGTGGATGTTTTCGTCACTCCCCAATGCTAATTCAGGACATTTCTCTACCGGTTTATGGTAGCTCATGCTATGTTCTACCATCTTTTCACCACTTCTCTTTTCTGTTATCCTGCTAACTCATTGTGTGCTCTCCTTTGCCCTTAGAACTGGTCATTCCACTCTTCCTCCTGACCTCTGTCCTTTTTTTTTTTTTTTTTTTTACTCCCCTGGCAACAGTCCAACTCCAGGTGACCCAATTACCTGCTACAGTGTCGGCACTCGGGCAGTTCTGGCAGAGACTGGATCTAGTAGTCGTGAATGTGAGCCTCGGCTTCCACGGAGACTTCCACAGGGTCTGGAAATACTACTGCATTCCTTTCTCACTCTCTCTAAGGACTATTTCAACCTTCACTCTTCTACATTTGATCCTGTCTTCTGAACTACTTAACTCTTGGGAGATAACTTTGCCTTTTGTTTCAGAGAAAATAGAAACCATCCCCCCCCCCCCCCGAAAATATTTTATTTTCCCACCTGCTGATCTCCAACCCTGCCTAAGTGAAAACCCATCTTCTCCCATTTTCTTCCTTTTATCAAGGAGATGGGCTTCCTCAACAAAGGACAATTCTATCTATGCTTCAAGTCCCATCATCTTCATTATCATTCTCATGGCTATTGTTATGCATATTAGTGGGAGGGGGCCTATAGAAAGAGGTTGAAAATAGACTAGAGAGAAAACACAGTCAGTAGTTTAAAGCCCTTGAGGAGGTGGAAGGAGGATGGGTGGGATCTGGAACATAAGGTAAGAATTAGCCTTAGACGAGAGGAGTGATATTTCTTTCTTTCTTTTTTTTTTTTAAAATATTTCAT